AGACGCGGCCGGGCTGAGGCTTCTGCGGGGCAGGTGTTGCCGTTCCTCCGCCCTGTGCCGACGCAGACGGGGCCTCGAGGGGGCCTTTAACAGCCACGGCACGAACGGCGGCTCCGGAGTCCACGGGCCGCTACGCGTGACCCCCCTCCGCGGGGGGAGGCCCAGGCCCCGCCGGCCGGGCGAGGAGGGAGGCGAGTTCCAGGCCCAGTTCCAGCCCCTGAGCTCCCTCCCCAGGGCAGGCTGGTATAGAGTTAGACGATAGGGCTTTTCTTCTGCTTTTTAAAAAAAAAAAAATAAAATTTAAAACCCGTGCTTCTGTGATGCAGGAATTTTAATAAACATGTTTCTGGAGGCCAAGCTGTACGTGAGGACCAGTGGGTTCAGGGAACTGTCCCCTGTCCCCCATGCTGCAGAACAGCCTTAGCGCCAGCCCTGTGTCCAGGCACAAAGCAGAAGGGTATGTTCAGTAACGACGTTGATGGCCGCTTTTTAAACTGTCAGCTTTCCCTGGGTTAAAGAATAAAGAGAGTATTGGCAGGAGGGCTGTTAAAGTTTGTTTTCATGGCAGCCAAAGGATCCCTACACACATTCCACGCAAGTCTCGTCAAAAGTTTCTGAGGTAAAACAGAACCCCCAAAAAAAATGTTTTCGTGTGATTTTTGTCGAAGAGGGGGATTAGCAGCATACCAGAAGAAGTTGCAATAGTGTTGTCATGAGCCGTGGCCGGTCCAAATGAAGCAAAGTCTGGAGGAAGCCAGGCTATCCGTGCTGGGGCAGCTGATAGGATGGGGAAGAGAAACCAAGCTCTGCGAGCGAGAAGAAATAAACAGCTGTTCACTTGTGATCCCTCTGATTCATGCCTGCAGCGCGTTGCGAAACATTCCAGCGGCAGCAAAACTCTCTCTCTCTCTGCTCCTCATCTACCCCACGGAGGATGTTTAACACCTGGACGCCGTACACTCACCCACCTCGATGGAAATGCCACTTTCAACCTGTCCTGGCCCCCGTAGGTATGTGCTGGGCTGAGGGCTGGCAGCAGGTCGGGTTTGCCGGTGACGGGGGGGCCGAGGCAGCCCTGGGGCTGCGGTGGTGGCTGGAGGAGCTGGAAAACCCATAACCAACACGTGCCAGCACGGGGTGTGCAGGCGGCCGGAGCGGCTCTGCTGAGGCTCTTTGGCTGGAAGCTCTGTAGCGTTACAGTCCAAGTCATTTGACTTTCATGAGTCAGAGTATATTACACGAAAACATCCTGCGAGGAGGGAAGGGAGGATGAATTCCAGACACTGACCTTAGACAACAAACAAAACCCACTTTTTTTTTTTTTTTTTTTTTTTTTTTTTTTTTTTTTTTCCCTTGTTTTAGGGAAGAGGGGGAGGGTAGCTCTTCCACCACTAGCTGGATGCAGGCTGTGGATCAGGCTGAAACTTGGCATCTTCACGTGGAAAAAACAAAGTTACTTCATTCTGCCAAAGGGCTCTGGGTTTACTCCTAAAAGCAGCCAGAGCCCCTTCTGCCCCCCCCACCCCGATCTGTCTGTGCTGTGACCGCCCCTTCCCACCAGCCCTGCTGCCCAGAGGTGACTTTCCAGGCTGAGCAGCATGACCAAGAGCTGCAGCATCTCAGCCTGGAAACCAGCACCGAGGAGAAGACACGGGAGAGCCCGTTTCCACAGGGGAGATATTTGTCCCTGAGGCCACAGATGCCTTCTGGGCACTGCCTGGCCCTGCAAGCTTCCTGCCCACCAGCAGTCCTGGGACAGAGCGGTGCTGTGAATTTCTGTGAATTATCTTCGCTCTGCTCAGGGAGCATTATTTACATGTTAAACATTGGGAATTTCTTCTTAGATGGGTCTTAGATGAGGTCTTTTGAGGTTCAGGGAAGCCCCGCCACACAGACTGCTTGTCTTTTTTAAGGTGTTCAGGTGCTTAAATCTCTTGGAAAAAAAACCAAAAAAACCAAAAAAACAAACAAGCAAACAAAAACAAACAAACAAACAAGAACCAAAAAGCAGTGCTTTTGCCTCTTGGAAATGGCAGCAGAAATCTCTCTAATGCTGGAACCAAGGCTCTGTCAACACAATGCAGCGACTGTGTTCAGCGCTGACCTTTTGAGCCCAAATCCCACACTCTTTGACTCTCCAAAAATCCTGCCTTTTGAATAGTCCTTCAGACAGGAAAAACTGCGGGGGGGGGGGG